AAATAAATAAATAAATAAATAAATAAATAAATTTCGCAGAGTCGAAATTGCCAGCCCACCTCTGTGAGATGGCTGCCCCAGGCTCTCAACACCACTATTTCCGTTTAGCCAGTAGTTTCATTAGGGAAGTGCAGACTTCAGCAGTGCACACACTGAGGGGGTGACACCAGTATGACTGCCTTCTGGAAGATAATCATAATAATGATAATAATAATGATAAGGAGAAGAAGAAGAAGTAGTAGTAGTAGTTATTTATATCCCGCCACCATCTCCCCGAAGGGACTCGGGGTAGCTTACAAAGCACTCCAGGGTGCACATATAACATACAACCGGTAAAAACAGTACAAAAGTATAAAACAAGTCACATAAAATTATAACATCCCCCATCAGCACATGTTAAAATCAAAACAATATCATTTTGAAACAACAGTAGATAAAACTAACTGCCATCAATTCACAGGTGCCATGTGTCAGTGTCCATGTTTTCAGGTTGGAATGGAAGGATTGCAGGGTGGGGACTAATCTATAATTGCCCAACTTGCATGACACACATGTTGCCACTCCCATGGACCTACAATAACTTGCACTGAGCCTTCTCTTCTGGTCTGCTTAGAGTAGGAGAGGCAAGTGGAAGATCATTCCCACCTCCCATTTTGCCCAGGCTACCCTGTCATCTCACTCATTGCTGCCACAGCCATGTTGCCATCCCCTCTTCTGCCAGTGTGGGCTTATGCTTTCGCTCTTGGTTTTTAAGATTGGGTGGCACTATCTTTACCTGTTTTCATATATTTAGGTGCTTTGCTCTGAGGAAAGACTGAAAATCACACATTTTTTAAAACATGAGTGGGGCTTTAGGTACTGGTGAAAGAACTCATGGTTTCCCCACCTATCGTTAAAGTAAGGTTTAGGATACATGGATCAAGGGCACACTGCCTCCCCCGATCCCAGCCTGGGAACCTCATTCCACATGACATAAATTTTGACATAGAAAACGTATGAGTTAAGTGCTAATGATGATGATGTTTATTATTCCCATATAATGTTTCCTGTGTTTTCTCTCTGAAGTATTGATAGTGTCTTACATGTATATATTTACAGGTTCCAAAGCCAACAGGTGTAAAGAAAGGATGGCAGAGGGCCTATGCCGTAGTCTGTGACTGTAAACTCTTCCTCTATGATGTGCCTGAAGGAAAATCCACTCAGCCAGGAGTTGTTGCAAGTCAAGTCTTAGATCTCAGGTTTGTGTTATCTTTGGCAGTAGGGTATGATTTCTCCTTTAATTTTGTAGGGTCAAAGAGCAAGCCAGGATAAAATGAAATTTACATACATGGGAATGGCCCACCAATTTATTTTACATATTTAAAGAGAGTTTTATTACATCAGTGTGCATTTTGACAGAATATTGATTATGCTCATATGCAGTAGCATAGAAGGGTGAGGCTTGTACTGTCACCTGCTTTTATCTCAGATTTTTTTTCATCCCTGCAGGTAGTGATGTACCTTAGTGCTATTCCAGACTTATATGTACTCAGTATCTTACTAAGGCCAGAATTATATCAGGTTATGTGTTAACTTCATTCCTGGGGAAAGAAGGGTGATAAAATTTGCTTTTCAAATAGATTAGACCAAGTTTGTTGACTTGTATTATTTATTTTCTTACCAGAGATGAAGATTTTTGTGTGAGTTCTGTCCTTGCATCGGATGTTATACATGCAACCCGCAAAGATATCCCTTGTATATTCAGGGTATGACTATTTAATCAGTTTGAGCAAACATAATTTGTTTTACATAGCCCTAACTTATTATTCACAGACCTTTCTTCAGTGAATGACTCCTAAATAATAGTGCTGCGTATTTTAAATCTCAGTTTAAAGGATGACTTTTATAGCGTTGCTCACATACAGGAAAACCCTTTAAAGTTAAACTGCAACTTTAAAGCATGGTTTGTGTACTTACAGTTTGCTTTTTATTAGGTATAATTTCTGCTTTCAGATACTCATTTACAGAATATCCTTGCTTTCTAGAATTTTGCAAATATTTTGGCTGAGGGGCAAGGTTCAAATATTCTGCTACAGACCCCATTCCAAACCTTTATTTATAGAGTTTGTTTGCAGCTGTTGTTTTTGTCAGTGGGTATTTAGGTACTATTTTGCAAGATCCAGTATATTTATTTAATGATGATGATGATGATGATGATAATAATAATGAAAAACACATATTTATTTGTATCCCACTTTTCTCGCAAAGGGACTCAAACAACATAGCGACCTGTTGCAGATTACCTAACTACCTCAGAATAAGTTGTGTTACTTAAGGGTATTTTGATCATTATATTAGTCAAATGAAAGGGCTGTTTTACAATTTACCTATAGTAACCCACATCCTCCTGCTTGGAAATATTATTCAGAAGGTTAACCCAAAAAAACTGGGTCAGTGTGAATACTGTACTTTAATTCTTACCAAAAAGGAACCATCTTCTTTTCTAAGTACAATGAGAAAGATAAAAGTTTAGTCCACCCCAGGACCACCTAAAAGAAGCACCGACTCCATCTTCTCTCTCAACATGGCAACCTTTCTGGAGGATATAATGGCAGTAGCGACAGGAGTGGCTGGCCCCTTGGGTCGGCATTGGTGCTTTCCCCTCTCTGTGAAATTGCCCTTGACTTATCCATGAGTCATATCAAAATCTATAATTTTGGCCCCAGAACCTGCCTTTGACATATATATGAGGTCAATTTATTTATTTATTTATTTATTTATTTATTTATTT